TCCCCCAAAACACTACATCTGTCAACCTAGGAATTCCACTCCTTTAAATTAATTCTAAGAAAATAATTACAGATGCAAAGATTTATACACCAAATATTTAGGATAATTTACAACATAAAAATGGGAAATAATATAAATATTCAATGATAGCAAGGTAGCTAAATATAATATAGGGTAGCCTTGAATGGACTACTATGTAACCCTTAAAAATAAAAAGGAGAAAGTGTTTCTACATATTAATTGAAAGAGTGACACAAAATTGCTTTCACAGTATAATGCCACATATAAATATATGTGTATCTGTGTTTGTGTAGATGAATGAATACTACTTAGATAGAAAGTTAAACATTAACAAAGGACTGAAAGAATAAAGGGAAATATATCAAATTGTAAACAATCATTATTATCTTTATTAGAAATTTTCTGTATTTAAAAACAACTCAAAAAAATAAAAAAATAAAAACAACTCATAGTACTTTGTTATTTTTATAATAACACAGCAAAAAGAAGTTAAGAGAAAAATCATAAATGTTTAATATCATAGGAGCCAAACTAGAGAATGTCAATAAAGCAGATTTACTTTAAAACTTCATGTAAAGGCTAGTACAATTATGGAATTTATTATCCCAAGCGGTACAGATTGAAAATAAAATAAATTTAAAATTGTTTTAGGCACATTTCTGATGAAAGACTGCAACATAGCAAAACGTTAGGATTTAATTTATGGTGTAAGCTTTATCCCCTTGCAGAAAACAATCCTGGAGCAGATGGGCCACTGTTCTGACTCAGCCAAGAGGAATGTCACGTTTGCCTTCTGCATCAAGATACTGACATGTGTCATCTTGTGTGTCACAGAAATACTAATTTCAGTGACTAGCTTGAAAAGAACATGCTAGAGAGTCCCAAAAGCACCACTCTCCTTCTTTTTTTAAATTTTATTTTATTATGTTATGTTAATCACCATAGATTACATCATTAGTTTTTGATGTAGTGTTCCATGATTCATTGTTTGCATATAACACCCAGTGCTCCATTCGATACATGCCCTCTGGCCAGACTTATCAAAAAGAAAAGAGAAATGACCCAAATAAATAAAATCATGAACAAAAGAGGAGAGATCACAACCAACACCAAAGAAATACAAACAATTATAAGAACATATTACGAGCAACTATATGCCAGCAAATTAGATAATCTGGAAGATATGGATGCATTCCTAGAGATGTATCAACTACCAAATCTGAACCAGGAAGAAACAGAAAACCTGAACAGACCTATAACCACTAAGGAAATTGAAGCAGTCATCAAAAATCTCCCAACAAACAAGAGCCCAGGGCCAGATGGCTTCCCAGGGGAATTCTACCAAACATTTAAAGAAGAATTAATACCTATTCTTCTGAAAGTGTTCCAAAAAATAGAAATGGAAGGAAAACTTCCAAACTCGTTTTATGAGGCCACCATTACCTTGATCCCAAAACCAGACAAAGACCCCATCAAAAAGGAGAATTACAGGCCAATATCCCTGATGAACATGGATGCAAAAATTCTCACTATCACTCTCCTTCTTAAGAAAAAAACATGCACCTATTTTTTCCATCTTCTCAATTTAATGAGTAATTCTGTTGTTTCTCCTTATTTACTCTGCTCAAGCAGAATCACGGTGTCTGGAGTGTAATGCTCAGGAATTTACAAATTCAGAATGGGCTACTCTGAGCCACACTGTCTGATTTGGAAAAGGCTTTCCCACCTTTAAATTTACTTGTTGTCTGAGTCAGTAGAAAGTCTCAATAGAGCAATTCAGTTCCAATTTTAATAATTACCCAGATTCCTGGAACACTTTTATACAAATGCGTCTTCAGCTGCTTACTTGACTAACATAAAAATTCTGTAAAACATACCAGCCATGTGAGTCTACTGATTCTGGGCACCAGAATCTTCCCTGAAATATCAAAGAGGTTCAAGTGGTCCAGGTTGGCTTTCGGGTGCAGGTCAGGCTATGATGCAATAAAACACCACATTCATATATTGTATTATTTGTTTCAGAAGTACAGATCTGTGATTCAACACTCTTGCACAATTCACAGATCTGTACCTCTGAAACAAATAATATAATATGTTTAAAAAGAAGAAGAAGAAGAAGGTAGCAGGAGGGGAAGAATGAAGGGGGGGAAATCAGAGGGGGAGACAAACCATGAGAGATGATGGACTCTGAAAAACAGACTGAGGGTTCTAGAGGGGAGGGGGGTGGGAGGATGGGTTAGCCTGGTGATTGGTATTAAAGAGGGCACACTCTGCATGGAGCACTGGGTGTTATACGCAAACAATGAATCATGGAACACTACATCAAAAACTAATGATGTATGGTGATTAATATAACAATAAAAAATTTTTTAAAAACCCACCACAGTCAAATTCCACTAATTTACAAGAAAGATTGATTTCTTGTTCATGTCACGCAATGACTAGGTTCAGCTCCAGCTCTATTTCATACCTTCATTCTGACCTTCAGACAAAAGGAGCAGTTCTTTTCCAGAATGTGTCCTTTGCATGACTGGTTGGAAGTACAATGGCAGACTACCTGCTTAAACCTTCTGCTTAAAATCTTCGCTTGCACCCGTATATGGTACTTTGCATGTATTTCATTGGCTAAAACAAGTCCAATGGGCAAGGCTGATATAAATGGGACATGAAAGTGTAATCCTATAAGAAGGGCAGGAAGTAACTAAAATCAATACTACAATCTACCATATCAAGTATCTTATAAAATATCAACAGCAATGCATGTATGTCTTCATGAGCAAAGGACTTGGGTATATTGAGAATTGTTGAACCATTTGGCCAGCCCCACAAGATCCTTCCTCCACTCAATCAGGAGAGAAGTTAGAGAAGGCTGATACAGATGCAGGCAGGTTCTGAAATGAGAATCTCTAAAGATTTTACTATACAGTTAAGATAAACATAAATATAAACATAAATTCAGAATACTATAACATAGAATCTAATATTGGTTTCCACGTCATCTCCTTCGCCCGCACCCACCCATCTACTCAACCCATCCAAGTAGCCTGGTAGCTGAGTCTCATTCTAGGATCTATAGATTTTATCTGGTATCTCATTTTTTTCCCTGTTCCATAGCTCATTTCTTTCTTTTAGGACTCTTATTTTCTGTTCCTCATGAAGCACTGTCAAAATTCTACTAAGTACAAAGTATATCAAATTGCTTTTTATTTTCTTAGATAGAACTCCATTTATTTCAACACACACTGCAAATTATTGGCTTCCAGCTTTACTTATTAAGCTAGAAATGTCTTTCTGTTCTGATTTGTTTTGTTTTTTGGTTTGCCTTTCCATGCTATTCCTCTAATAGGAGCTCCACTTGTTACAGGCATTGTCTCTGGCCTCAGCTTTCTGTGCCTGTGATAAGGCAAGGCACATCTTAAAGTTACTTAGGTGTGAAAATAAACTTCTTGTTTGAAATCTAAGATAAAATATATTCCCCATTGGGCAGAAATATCTAATCCATATCATTTCCTATGTTACATTGTTATACATGCTCTATCTCCATCTCTTCTGTCCTCTCAACTCAAGTGATGTTCCTTTCAAACCATTTCCCACCCAATGTCATGACGGCTAGATTTACATGATATGAATGAGACATGCTCTAATTTTGTGTATTCCCATGATGGCACATTTCTTGCAAATTGCCAGTTTTCCCCAGCCCTAATCCTCTTTAGAGGGGATCTGCCTCTTTTTGAGTTTTTTTCTTGAAGAAAAATATCTTAATTGCTGTCTTTATTTTTGTATCACTGCTGACGGGGCCAGTAGAAGCCAAGGAGTTACAGCTTTCTGGTGCTAGAAAACTCAGCCTAATCTCTGATGTGAAGATCTAGGAAAATGTGATTTTATATGGCTATTCTGTCTGATTACCATTATTTCTTATGGCAGTTAATAATACTGAATAAAATACTGTAAATCAAAATCCTATGCTTGGTCACATATTCAATGTGCCTACCCACACACTTCTATTACTATCAATTAAAAGTTACATTGTTTCATCATTTAGCAATTCAATTTCTCAGATATGCTAAGAGACTTTCCAGTCACCAAAAGAAGTTCTGAGAGTGCTCATCTTCAATACTGAGAATATTTGGCCCTCCCAAAGATTCGCATTAATGTGTTAGATTTGTGAGAGCTTGCCTAACCCTCTTCTACAAAATAGTGCTTCAATCAGAAAAGCTCTTTTCACATGTATGTCCTTATCTACCCACTCCAAAAATGCAGCTTAAGACCAAAACTACGGATGACCATCTCTGGCATCAAGTGTCATTTGATGGTCGTGCTGCACATCCCCACTGTCCTGTTCTCGATTTTGAGATAGTTTCCAACACCCCATCTGAATTCCATTCTTTGCCTGGTCCTTCGTTTCTAGTTTGAACCATAAGGCATGAATATGAAGTTGAACTTTTCCTCCATCCATGTTCTCCTGCTCTGATTGGATATTGAGAAACACCCCTGGCTGTATAACCTGATCAATTTATTACTTCTACCTGACTTGGATATTTTTCTTTCAACCTTGACCTGCCAGTTGAGATTCTAAACCTGGTTCTGACCCTCCAGTTTGGCTGGAGGGCTTAGATTTTTCATGTCAGTTTCATGACCAAAGCTCTGTCCACTGATGTAACTTAAGTCCTGTTTCTGAGTCCCTGTGACTTCTCCTACCCCAAAGCTACCCACATCAGTGACCATTTTCCTTGAGTCAGAAGGAAGGAATGAAGGGATGACCACACCACTGACTGGCATTGTCAAAACATGCTTCAGATGTATAGATCTAAGTGTGATGTGGGGTGTGTGTGTGTGTGTGTGTATCATTATATAATATACACTTGTTGAATAATTTGGGAGCTTTAATTCAGACTTTAGTTTTAACCTGCATTAAATATTGTTCACATTTTTAATGATTTTGACCCATGAAAATAAACTGATTTCTCCATTACTTTTAGATGGTCCAGTAGTCTATGCAGCGTACTTAAAGATGGAGCATAGTGACGAGAATATTAAATTCTGGATGGCATGTGAAACCTATAAGAAAATTGCCTCACGGCGGAGCAGAATTTCTAGGGCAAAAAAGCTTTATAAGATTTACATCCAGCCACAGTCCCCTAGAGAGGTAACTATGTGACAGTGACGGCTAGTGGAAATCAGTACGTCCTGGGGAGGATGCTAGTATCTCTCAAGCACAGACATGTGCCAGGCACTTCATATCCAGTATCTCCCACTATGCTACAAAGTCAGTATTGTTGACCTTATTTTACAGATAAGAAGCCTGAGAATCTGAGAAGTTAATTAGCTTGTTCAGTGTCACATAGCAGATAAGTGAGAGAGTTAGGATTCAAAGTTACGCCTGTCTGGCTCCAGAACCTCTTCTCATTAAATTATCTTAATTCCTGGGAAAGTTTCTTTAAAAAAAAAAAAAAAAAAAGGAAAAGGAGAAGAAGTCCTTGTAAGAAGAATCGACTTTGCTAGAAGGAACTACAGATACCATACATTGGCATATTGACAACCCCAGTGGTTTGGGGAAAGTCTATGCCTTTGCAACATACTCACTGCTCACCTCAGTTCCAAAACAGCAAATCCGGCAAACATTCACACTGATATTACAGCCAATCATTTACAGTGGCCTAAAGAAAATAAAGAGTCATGAGTGCATGACACATTGGGACCCCTCCTGGTGGATAGAGAATAAGAAATGAAAATTCTTGTCAAGGGGATAAAGGTAGACCATGACATAGAGATTCCTATCATGCAGGACAGTCCTATGTTATTGACTTGTTCCTCAAAACTCTTATCTGGAAAATACTTGGTTTATTGAAATAACCACTTCTCTCCTTTATTTCTCCACCTCTCTTCACTCTCTTCCCTTTTCAGGGCATATTCAGTGAAACCAACATTCATGACTACTAAGAAAGATAAACTTTAAAATAGCACCAACTTCCCTTTTCCTTAAAAGAGACCTTCATCTCATAAACTTCCTTGTTTGTAGACTCCACTAACAAACCAGTTGCATCTGCCTAAGTAAGCAATGGTTTCTGAGATTTCCCTGGTCTTGGGCTCTGTGTTTTCTGTTTTGTTTTGTTTTTGAATCTGGGATAGGCAGGTGGATGTTTAGTTATTAAGAAGCAAAGTTTGTCTCTTAAAAGTCTTTTTAGATATCTATGAAATTTCAGACAAAATTACCCTTTTCCAGTAAAAAAAAAAAAAAAAAGGAGGGGGGGAAAAATTAAATTTTCCATTATGGTTTCTATCTTCAATTATACTTACTTATGCTCTACATGTAATTTCATTTTTCAGATTAACATTGACAGTTCAACAAGAGAAACTATCGTCAGGAATATTCAAGAACCCACTCAAACGTGTTTTGAAGAGGCTCAAAGGATAGTGTATATGCACATGGAAAGGGATTCCTATCCCAGATTTGTAAAGTCAGAAATGTACCAGAAACTTTTGAAGACTATTCAGCCCAACAACAATTCCTAACTACCACTCAAAAGTTTAAATTGAAGATGGTGTTTTGAAAGTGCTGGCTTTGTTGTTTTAATTAACACACACACACACAATCAGAAATAGAATAGGAATGAAATAAAAGAAAACAAACTACAAATTAATTTGTTCTAGTTCTCAAAGAGAAACAGATCCCCAAAGGGATGGACTCTAGAATAGTTATAACATGAAAAACACAATTTATGGCATGCCTATGTAGCTCAGTTAACATATAGAAAAAGGAAGGTCTTCATGACACCAATATTATAAAGTTTTTTACTGCAGTAGTCAACTAATGGATGTTTTCTTATTAATGAAATTTTGCTGTCATAATGCGCAGATCAGTTCTTTAAAAATTGTACCTATATGAGTTGTCTCTAGTATGAGTGTATTATATAGATGGAGTGCTCATAATAACTTCAATTAGTAGACAAACTTAGTATGTGAAGTACAATCAATGGTCCAATATAATGAGCAATATAAAAAGATATGTTCTTGAGAGATATTTTATCTGCAAAATTTTCCTATTATATTCATAATTAAACTTCTATAGCACAAATATCTTCTTTATGTGAAAATTTCTGATGATTCTAAGCTATTAAGAATGTATAAAATTCTTGGGGCGCCTGGGTGGCTCAGTCGTTAAGCGTTTGCCTTCGGCTCAGGTCATGATCCCAGGGTCCTGGGATCGAGCCCCACATCGGGCTCCCTGCTCCGCGGGAGGCCTGCTTCTCCCTCTCCCACTCACCCTGCTTGTGTTCCCTCTCTTGCTGTGTCTCTCTCTGTCAAATAAATAAATAAAATCTTAAAAAAAAAAGAATGTATAAAATTCTTCATTTATTCTTATATTGACGTGAGGTTAGAAAATTTGGTTCCTATATTTTAAGTACTGTTTCCTCACAATGTGAATTTATCATGGTCCTGATAATCAATAAATCCAAATATAAACTAAATTCTTATAAATCTATGCTTTTTTCAAAGACATAATGAAGTTATTTTTCCAGCAAAAGACGGTCTTTATCTGTCTTGTCGTAACAGTTTCTTAGAGTTTGTTAGATTACAGAAGAAGCAACTCATATCTATTTCACTTGTTTTGTTTAGCACATAGTATAGCATATAAACGTTCCATACAGATGGATAAATATTCTATATTTTTTATGAAGAATAAAATACATAAAAATATTAATATCATTTTGCCAAAGAATTAACTATAGGAAAATATTGTTCAAGATTTCTAGTTTTACTATGAAAAGTGTTTCTCTGGTCTCAGATTTGACTGAAATAGCATTACTATTTTAAAACGCCTATAAATCTGGGCGCCTGGGTGGCTCAGTTGGTTAAGCGACTGCCTTCGGCTCAGGTCATGATCCCGGAGTCCCTGGATCGAATCCCGCATCGGGCTCCCTGCTCTGCAAGGAGTCTGCTTCTCCCTCCGACCCTCCCCCCTCTCATGTGCTCTCTCTCATTCTCTCTCTCTCAAATAAATAAAAATCTTTAAAAAAATTTTTTTTAAATAATAAAAAATAAATAAATAAAACGCCTATAAATCTATGCTGTATGACATGAAAATGAGTATCAACTGTAATTCTTCTCAATCAGCAAAGGGCTATTATAACACAGAATAAATATTTGAGGGTTTATTTCTGAGAAAGTACTCAAGAGATATTTTTGTGAAAAAGTGTATCACTAATTAATGCAGATTCTAGCTAAAGTAGAAAGTGTTACCACAGTGGTCCATTTTATGTAGTTCACTAAATTTTATTTTCTCTTGAAAATACCAATACAAGGATACAGATTGACATCTTAGATATCTGAAGTTGATGATGATCCCTAGCCATAATAAACCAAAAAAAAAAAAGTTTCCTCATGTTTCAAATAGTTTCATCTCACTCTGACTGGGAATGAGTGTATTTATAGACATATAATTAGGAAGTGTTTTACATACATGGTAATAATATACATGGTTTGAGCAGTTTCAGAAGACCTTGAGCCCTTATCATTCAAAATGTACTAAATCAGCCACTGATATAACTAATAAATGGAATTGGAATAATCAGCATTCTTTACTACTTCTCTCTCCCCTTCATTGGGTGAATATCTGTGTCCCAATATAAGATAAGTCTAGAACTTTCAGTTTTGCTTATATGCTGATTTCACGTCCTGAATAAAGTCCCTCTGCTTAGCTATCCCAGCACCTTCACCTCATATTGGGTAAACAAGGTGCCACATGGTAACATGAAACAAAAAACTTTGGACTGAGGTACAAAGCAACCGGATTAGTGTCTGTTCACTCACCTGATGTCATTGTACCTTTAGTATCAGTAGGTCTTATTCTCCTCATCTATCAAATAAAGGGGTGGGACTAGTTGATTTGACTGAGCCACACACAGTGTGTGTTTTATTACATACCATTAATAATGTATTCATTATTCTTTTTCTCTGTAACAAGCCTGGGCTCATTTTGGAATTCCTCCCAAAATCAATGTTTTCATTAGGAAGTGGATAACAAACTATTTTGCATTTAACATTAGTTGAGGGACTTCTGAAATTTTTTACTTTGGAACAGAGAACTTAAACTGCTATCTTTTCAAGAATTCTACATGGGAGTATGTGTTTTATGTTAGTAGCACTTAAAATAGCTTTCAGATCATTTTAACCTGATAATATACTAAATCTTGTTCATTCTCCTTAGGATATTTATTAAAATAATTCAAAAATTGATGATACTCATCAAATGGCTATAAGGGTATGCCTACATTAACACATTTTTACATGGTATTTGTTTTTTCAGAAGTGCTTTGAGATTAATAAGTTAAAAACATATTGTTAGATTTCTATATCAGAACCTGGATATATTTATGATTTTTTCTCTTTTTTTAGATATACATTTTCAAACTCTGGAGATATATGAGATAAGCCTTCATTGTATCTGCCTAAAAATAAAATCTCATCTTCTCCAAAGAAGATAATGACAGAGATTTGTACATTTCAGATTCAAATATCTTGGCAGAGATGAACACTTTCCTATTTATAATTCATCAGTCACACCATAGTTCCATTAACTGCAAAAGACTTTTTACCAATTTTGGAAAGAACGATTACAGAAAAAAGATAAGTAAAGTTTTCTCCAAAGACATAATAGGGTGTGATTTGAAGAAAATCCTAAGTTACCACTGCCCAAAAATATCTTCCCTGTATCTAGGACCTGAAATTCCTATCACTGGTCATAGAAGATGAAAAATGGGATTGAAATTCAAGCTGTAAGTGAAAAACGAAACACTAGTGTTGACACATTACCTGTTGCCTAGCAGAAAGTAAAACTGGGAAAATAGAATGTAGGCCTATAGGGTAGCCCAGGAAAATAGGCTGAGAGAACAAAGATATTTGGGTAACTACAAGTCACCAAATACCAAACAAGACATAGAAATTGGGGACACAAATGGAAAGGGATTGCTTATTAAAATCTTCCTATGTTGTTAATAGAAAACCAAAGGAGAGGAGTGCTTCATTTAAAAAGCAGGTATTCTAAATGCTAATTATACATTTTTATGGAAAAAAATTAGTAGCATTCCTATAGAAATAAAAGAGCAAGTATTAAATTCTTCAGGCAAATAGTATTTATAGAAGCATTCTTTGAACAAAACTTTACCTAGCTTCCAATGAGTACAGATATTGTACATGCAGACATGAATTAGGTGAGGCTTCTGTTCTCAAGATGTGTGAGCTGATAATTAAAATACAAAATAATAATGCAAAATACTAACAGCCAAGGTTGACATGTGCAGAGTGCTGTGGAGTCCCAGCAGAAGCATCTACTTTTACCCAGCAGAATTTAGAAAGAAAATAAGAGATGAGGTTTAAGATGATTCTTGAAGAATAATTAAGAGATCGCTCAGAGGAAAGGGGAAAACAGAGTGGATTGGAACAAGGGTAGAAAAAGGGAAATTTCATGGCAAACAAGAAGATTTAAAAGATAGTTGGAGGCTCTAGAATCAGACCAATTTAGGTCCAAATCCTGGCTCTAACACTTAGCAGCTGTGAGAATTTAAGGAACTGTTTAATCTCTCTGAACTTTGTTTTTTCTTCATCTATAAAATGATAATAGCAATAACATGAATAACATCTACCTTTTATATATTCACGTGCATATAAAGTCCTGATACTGTGCTTAATAAAATTTAACCATCTTATTCACTACTGTAAAAGTTCAAATGAGAGACAATGATAGTCTAAGCTAGGCAAATGAGGAAAAACAGAGGGAGAAATTGTGAGCAGATCAGATACAGGGAATTATCAGGGTTGATCCAAAGTTTCTAATCTGAGCATCAGAAAAAAGCAGTTCAGAAAGATAAGCAGGTTTGGGAAACAGGTTGAGTATATGAGGTACCTACATGCCATAAGTGGGATTCCAGAGGAGAAATGCACATCTGGGAATTGTTAGCATGGCTGACTCAATGACCAGAAGAGATCTTATGGTGAAACTGTTCAGGACAGAGAGCAAAAACCCGTAAGACCCAATCAAACCTTAAGGAACAAGATAACATATTAATAACTCTTAAATTCTCACTGGAAGCTCATCACATCATTTATAGTACTGATAATGATTATTTATTGAGTTTTACTATGTAGTGGACACTATGCTAAGTATTTGGATATGTTATTCACTCATTCAATAAATAGTTATTGAGCATCTACCATATACCAATATGGTTGTCAGAGATAGGGAGTCACCAACAAACCAAGCAGAAAACATGTCTGCCCTCAAGAAGCTTACATTGTCTTTATGTCATAAAATAGCAATTGTAGAAAATCATATTGGCTATTAAAAAAAAGATAACATAATAGGATAGAGAGTAGCAAGGTGGGAGGTGGGGATGCTCTGGAGAAAGTAGTCGAGGGATTCTCCCTACCTAATTCATATGCTCCTCCCTTTTGACAACCCTAATCAAGGGTGAGGAATCTGAGGTTTTGAGAAGTTAAATAACTCTTTCAGTATCTCTCACTAGAACCAAGATTTTTCTAACTCTAATACCTTAATCATTATAATCAATATAATCATATTATATAACTCAATACTATTAATCATTATAAGTACAGTCTCCCACAACCAAGCTGAATACAAAGTAAATGTGCAATGATCTAACATAAAAAATATGCATTCAGATTTAAAATGCCATTACTATACAGACCATTTTAATATGAAAGATCCCTATTAAAACTATCTCTAGTTACTGCTAATGAACTCATGAAAATTGGTTTAAAATGCCATCGATGCTTGGGTCTCTGCGAGAAAGAAGAATTATCAGGGAACTGATGTAATGATGCCCAGATTCCAGTAATAGGATGAAACATCTTCTGTTTAGCTGGCAAATATGTTGCTTAAACCCAATTATTTATGAATGAGAGGGGAAGGCGATTGCAGAGGATCCAAGCTACGAGCCTGCCAAGAGCAAGTTGGAGGTCATGGTACTCACCATGCAGCAACCCACAGCTGTCCCTATTATCCTGGATGAAAAATGAGCAGGAGATCCAGGACCAGGGCCATGGCCATAGTCAGTCAGTGCTAACTGCCTGCATCTTCAGTTTGAGATCCTGAAGGAACAGGTATGGGCAAATAGTGAAAAATGTCATGAGAAACACCAAAGCCAAAGAAATAAAGTGCTGAAAGAATCTAGAATGTATGGGCAAATAATTTGGAGTAAATAAAATAGGAAATCATAAGAGCATTTTATTTAATTTTAATAAGCAACTTCTTTCCCATCTGAGGTGGTTTTTATCTGCCAGCCATACACAGAGCAGCTACTTTCTAAAGACACCCCCCAACATCTAATACCTGCCATAGTCGTCTTGCCCTACAGTTTTGCTTAAAATGTGGAACCAGGCACTAAAGGCCTAGATCATTTAT